GTAGTGTTAACATGTTAAATGTTAAGTTTGTAATGCAAAGTTACTGACATATGTAAGTACTCTAAATTATGTATGAAAGAATTATTTACAAGAATAATACAGATCTCATATGAGAAAGCAAAGGGATGTGTTGGGAGCATGTGATCTGAGGGCTTCTGAAAAAGACCGTACACACGTGAGGGTACAGTAGAGGGGAAAAAATACAAAAATGATCCAGTTTGTTACAAAAAGAAATGTCTTAGCCTCAGTTTTCTCATAATGTAAACCCATTTTAAGCCATTGTAAAGAAATGGAGGCAATGGAAAATTGCTTAACATAATTCCCATATATATTAATGATGGTCAGTATGTATTTACATAAGTAAAACTATAGAATTTTACCTATCAAAATGTTATTATCCATGGGTTGTGATAATTAGAATGATTTTAACTTGAGTCCTTCAAAAAATTTTTCGATTGTGGATATGCATTTTACTATTACAGCATTTTTGTTAAACTATAAAATATATCAGGTAAAAATACAAGAAGGCAGAGTCTAGCCCTTAATTTTTATTTTAAAAATCACAACTTTGCTTTGTATGTTACGCCCAAATTATGAAGATATAATCATTTAATATAGTGACATTTTTATAAGTAGAATAGTTGCAAATACTTGTAAACGTTAGTTTGATGAAGTGAGGTATGAAAAACAATGCGGGCTTTAATTTTCGTTATCTCCCTCCATGAAACTACTCTAACTCCTAGAGTAGTTAATAACAATCAGAGAAGATTAGTAGAACAAAATTAAGTTTTTAAGCCACATTTTATTATAGGTATATTGCTTATAGTGAGAGTAAATCTGAGAGTGGCGAACCTAAGATAATGCAGCTTCTGAAATTCTCCCTTTGAGAAATGAGGAAAAGAAAGGCAGGGAGCGTGAAAGGGAGAGAAGTAAAAAAAGAAGTGATTATTTCATCGTGAAAACATAGGAGGAACTAATAGTATGTAAAAGAGGCTTTAAGAATACTTTACCCAAGGCAATATGTAGACTTCGTTTGCTTCTGAAATCATATATATTAACTCTGAAAAAAATGATCTTGGGATAGTTGAGGACATTTTAACACATACTACATTATCATATGACTAAAGTATTGCCGATCTTATTTAGATAACTTTGTCTCACTCTAAAAAGTCTATTAGAAATACATGCCAAATATTTTGGGGTAAACAAAATGTTTGAGAATTCTCTTAAAATGTCTTCCTCTCACCCCTGAACAAAGATAGAGTTGTAGAGATGATAGAAAAAAAGTTGATAAGTGTTTAGAAACATAAATAATTATTCATCGTGAACTTTGAGTTCTTGCTTATATTTGAAATTGAAAATATTCACAGCAAAGTATGGTTCATTCTCGTCCGCTGATAAATCAAAACCAAACCAAACCAACTGCCAGCCAGTCAATTCCGACTCTTAACAACTCTGTAAGATTTCCAAGACTGTCCATTTTTACAGGAGCAGACAAAGCCTCATCTTTCTCCCACTAAGTAACTGGTGTGAGTACTTCGAACTCACCCCAATGCTTATCCCTTAGCATCACCACGGCTCCTTATAAAAGTGGGGAAAACTCTGGGCCTCAATTTTTAATTTTAAATAACTTGGAAATATTTTCCCCCAAAACCTTTTTGGGAGCTAATACAGGTATCATTCCATAGTTTAATCACCTCAAGCAGTGTTGTACCTATGCTACCACAATCAGTTTCAAAACATTCTCTTTCTTCTTGAACTCAGATGGATATCAGCTCCCTTTATCCCCAACCTTCCCCACTGTAATCCCCAGGACCCCTTATTCTACTTGGTGTTTCTATAGGTCATCAATCCTGGGTTTCATATATTTACAAATAAGCACATATAACAGAGATGCAAGAGGACTATCCCAATGACAAAATACATCAGAGATGAATCCCAATACGAGAAAGGAAAAACAAACAAACAAAAAATGATGACAACCAGTTCAGACCCAATGAGTATCAGAGTGGGGATCAACTGACAAGGTTTTAACCGTTCAAGTCAGGCTTATCATTTTGACCTCCTGTGGTCATCTCTCCAATGTACAGTTTATTCCCATCCCTCCATTATGTATAGAATGAAATCACCGGAGGCTTATTCCTATATAGTTCCCACAAATGTATTGGGGTTCCCACTGTCATTTATAGCCTTCTGTAAACTGGATCCTCACAACTTAGGGTCTGATACCATCTCCTCCGACTTCAGATGATATGATTTACAATTCTTTGGTCACTGATGTTGGTGTGCTGCTTCCATGTGGGTTTAGTTGACATCTCACTTAGATGACTGCTTGTTTGGAGACACGCCTTTAAGACCCCAGATGCTATTTTATCTGAGAGCCAGGCACCATCTAATTTCTTTGCCAGAATTTGCTATAGCACCCATATCTTCTGTGTTCCTTTCCTGGGGGCGAGTATCGAGAAAGGTCATGTTGTAAAGACTGATTATTCTTAAGATAGAGCTAGCATTCAGTATGCAATCTATGCCCCCTCCCTTTTTTTTCAATCTGCCTTTGGCTCCTGTTAGGGATCTCCTTGTTAATTTATGGTATAGACTTATTGATCATCTCCCTAGAGCAATGATTCTCAACCTTCCTAATGCCGTGACCCTTCAATGCAGTTCCTCATGTTGTGGTGACCCTGTATGTGGGCGTGTCTGCATGTGGGCAGACCCGCCTGGACATGGATAGAGAAGCAGTGTCTCAGTTCCTAGGAAATAAGGTCTTAGGTGACCCCTGTGAAAGGATCATTTGACCCCAAAGGTGTCGCGACCCACAGGTTGAGAACTGCTGCCATAGAGCATAAAGATCTTCCTTTAATGTTACCATTGATTAGCCCCTGGTATTAATTTTTAAAAACAGTTGAAAGAGGGATACTGAGCCAAAGTAGGCTAACTCCATATTGCAATACCTGAATTATTCACATGGTACAGAATAAATCTTTTCATGACTGGATGCTATTTACACAAATAGTGGGGGTTAGTTGTCAGGGAAACTTACAACAAGATTCACTGAGAATGTCACAGGTTTGCCAGAGTAATAGATACTTTATTCCAGCATATGGGCATTGATACAGTAAGTCAGTGTTTGCCCGCCTACTGACAGTTCAAAACTCATGGAATAGCTGTCTTCTGCTTCTTCAAATACCATGAATATTTACTTTTAAGACCTTAGGATACAGGTTTGTTTTTTTTTCAATTAGAAATTAATACATAAGATTATCCCATAGTTCAATTATTTCAAGCAGTATTGTGCAGTTGCTACCACCTTCATCAGTTTCCAAACATTCCTTTCCTTCCTGGACTCCTTAACATTGGCTCCCTTTACTCCCCTCTCCCCACCACCACTCTTTACACACACACACACACACACACACACACCCTGCAGCCTTTATTCTACTTGCTGTACCTATGGGTTTTTCAGTCATGGGTTTCATATACAGAAAAACATATAACACAAATTCAAGAGAGTGACCACCAATGACATAACACATCTGAGATAAACCCTAATATGAACAGATAAAAAAAAATACAGAAAAGATTGAAAACCAGATCAAGT